CTAAATGAGTGATGGTTTGGGTCTCATTTTGGCTTCAGTGGAGTCCTATGTTCATGAGCAAAGACCCAGTGCTGATGGCTGGTGCCACTGAGAGCAACATTGATGAGTCCCACATGGAAATGCTGGCCTTAAAAGCTCCTCTTCACCTGCCACATCTGGGTGTGTGAGAGAGGGTGTTTTGCCGCAAATAAGTTAGAGACCTGGGGATCTGTAGTAACTTGTTCAGATTCCTACATAGCTTGTTAACAAAACGGAACACTCTCCTTGAGTCAGCTTTTCTTTCTGCTATAAGAACATGGATCCTCCAAAATGTCTGACTAACACTCATAAAGAAATGGGGTAGGTCCTACTAGGCACTGATTAAAAGAGAAACTTTACTTTAAAATAGTGGAACTTCATAGACTGTAAGAAATAATTACCACTGTGGAAATACTTGTCTCCAAGAAGGCAATTCAGATACTTACAGTCCCAGAGGCAGGTATCCAATTAATTTTCTAGCAAGCACTTTCTTGTATAGAGAGGTACATACACTGTAATAAATGCATCCCTCTCTCAATGGAATATCTCTATGCTTATATATAAAAATATACATTTTTACATATAAAGTACCGGTGCATGTCATATATATATCACAATGCAGGAATATATATGTAGCCTGTGTGTTTCCTTTCAGAGCAGAAATACAAGCTCCATAGCAGGGGAGACCAAGTATAACTTATCAAGGGCAAGCATGACAATGGCTCTCAATGGATGAGACATTTAGTGCTAGAGTGGTAATTACCACAGCCTAATCAGTGTCCCTTAAAAATCCTGAGACAAGGCCTTCAAGAGAAACACACTGTTGTCAAGGTCTTATTTTCAAATGGAAAAATAAGACAGCATCAGAAGCTGGTCAGAGGCTGGAGGTGGGTGGATGTGTGGAGGGTGAGATCAGGGAAATCTCCAGCTCTAGGCTACTCTGCACACTGTGTTAGGGCATGAGCAAGTTGGGGCATGATGTCACTGCTACATGCAACATGAATACCAAAAGTAAAATGAAACTGAAACTGTACAGAAAATAAAAGAAGTATCTCATCTAGAGAAAGACAGGGGGAACTAGACTCCGGGCTGCTGGGAACCCGTTTTACTCACAATAGATCACTACCAGTGTGCAGTAAAAATAGAGTAGGGGCCGTATTCCGAGGCAGCAAAGAGAAAAAAATAAATCAAAGATATGTCAACGATTAGAAGTTAAAGAAAATTCCTTCAAACACATCAATCTAGACATGACTTGTCCCTTTGGAGTCTACCTTTGGCAAATTCTCACAGGCTGGGAGAGAAAATGTAAATCATTAGACCAAATTTGTTATACAGAAAAGAGAATGGGTAAATGGTAGACTCTGAGAGTTTGCTCCTTGGCCAGACAGCTGAATTGGACTCACATCCTGGATGGAGAGCTATGAAAAAATGGAAAGAAATGCAAAAGTTAAACTATACTACCATAGGATTTCCAGAAATGGAATGTCCACACTCCATATTTCTCTTGGATAACATGACACAAAACACTGAAGGTTACTGAATGAAAGGGAAGAGGGAGGGTAGGATGGGGATGAAAGGGGAGGAACTGGGTTGGGGGAGGAGGGCTAAGAAACTGAGGATAAAGATCAGGGTCTGTCCTCATGGAAACATACCATTTTAGGATTAATTTTTAATACCTGGGATAACAGATTTAGGTAAATGAATAGGTAGGTCATCATCCTCTCTAACTTAGAACACCAGGCCATGCCCACCCAATGGCATGGGGTCCTCCTATTGTGCTATTAATAATCTTAGCTATTTCTAATGAAAGTTTCTTTGCAACCAAAGCATATCATCTACTTCCTCACTTTCTTGGCTATGGAGGGATGTTTACATTCAATAATTCATTTTATTCTACCCATCCCCCATACACATCTGCATCCTGCCCTCTGGGCTATGGCTTTTTAATTAGGAAGAACATTTGGACTGGTCTGGTTGCTATCAAATATAAGCCTCACAGCTGAGGTCTCTGTCACACTGGCATGACTTGATGGAGGCAATACTTTTGTAGCAACTGTGCTGTGCACAATGGGACTTAATAATTTCACTAGCTCGACCAGCTTTAAGGGAAATGAAGACTATAAAGTTGTTTTAAATAATTATGTGCCTCTCTCCTCAGAAAGATGTTAAAGTTCACTACTGTTTGCTTGCCTGGAACCAAGACAGAAAAATACCCTGGAGGTCAAATCCTTACTTGTAAGGACTTTAAAAAGGGTTTGCCATGACACGCTGTGGTGTTCTATGAGAGATATTCTAGTTTCAAAGTGAGTCAGAGAAGCTCTCTCTTCATCTTTTCTCTTCTACTCTTGTTTCCTAGTCTTTCCTCTATTCAAACAAAAAGGAGATCTTTTATACTGCGAACTGATGATGTCATTTCCTTGCTTAAAATCTTCTAATGACTTCCTAGGATAGGGCTGAATCCTGGTTTTTTTTCTTTCTTTCTTTTTTGTGGGTCTGGGATTTGAGTTCAGGTCTTTGCACTTGCAAAGCAGGCACTCTACCGCTTGAGCCATACCTCCAGTTCCCTTTGTTCTGGTAATTTTGGAGATGGTGTCTCTTGAACTACTTGCCTGGGCTGGCCTCAAACTGTAAACCTTCTGATCTCTGTCTCACAAGTAGCTAGAGTTACAGGCAGGACCCACTGGTGCCCAGAGAAATCCCAGCTTCTTGCCACTTCCCCTGCCTTCCTCTCCAATCTAATTTCATCCCACTGTTCCCCAATGCTGTCCACCTCAGCAGCCTTCTGTCCATTCTTCAAAAAGTATGGACTGATTTCTGTCATTGGGCCTATTCTTTGCCTATGTGGATTGGGTCTCAGCTTCAATGTCACCTCCCAATGGAGGCCTTGCTGACTTTTCACTCTATGAAGTAGTAGTATTCCTACAAGATTCCCCACATCCCCACGTAGTCATATCTTTCTTTTTTGCACTTTCCTGCCTTTGAATTTTTCAGTTGTTTACACAATGAAATTCTATCTCTCTGTTCACTGGAATAAAGGTTTAATAGGGCAGGGACTTCCTTGTCACTTATCACTCCAACTCTGGTACCAAGAGTAGGCCTTGTATAAAGAGGGTACTCAAAAATATGTCAGCAAATCATAGTCTTGCTGCTCACCAATGTCCCTGTGTGATGAGGTTCTCTGAAAATATATCCTATCATGGATTATTGGCCTCAACACTCTCCTACCTTTTGCAATCCATCACTACAGGAACTCTTTTAAAAAAGAGTTCACCCTTTTCTATTTGTTACTTTCTCTTGTTTACCTCTACTCTCAAGATGTCCTGTTTCTTCTGATGGAAATGACCAGGGAGATGCCTGGTCAACTGGGCTGTGCATCTGCATTCAGAGTCAACAAAGCACGACAGGATTGATGCCTGGTGAGAAAGCAAGTGAGTCATGGAGCCTAGGGGGATTGGAGGAGGGTGAACTTTCTTCTGTACTTTACACTTACTTGCTCAGGTACTCTTCCTGGTAGGTTGTCAGAATCGGGAAATCTTATGTCCCAAGAGGTCAGAGGCTCTTGTTCTGAGACATCAGTGAATATTCATCTGGTATGGTGACAAGTTCAGGGAAGGGGGACTGTGCATATTAAGTCACTAGAGAAGATGGGAGGCAAGCAGTGGGCCTAAGATAGTTTGGCCAGCCTGGGAGAATTACTACAGAAACTTCTTCAGCCCAAGAGTAACCTGTAGGTACTTGCCCAAGAGGTTTCTTCATGCTCTGGCAGTGCCATCTTTATGTCTTACTGGTTTTACATGTGCCCCCCTTTGGTGTGCAGTGAAAAGGTTTTGGTTTCAGCTGGCATATCCCAACTGAGGTAATCTTTCATCACAGTGTTCCTACTCATCTGATCCAAGGTCACCTACCTCTTTCTTCCCTCCTACAAAATAAAAAAAATCAGGGCACGCAGAGAACAACCCCAAGAGAGAGTTTTAGTGAACCTGAACTCCTGTATGTTGGTTGTGTGACTACCAGCAATCTCATCTACTCAATAAACTTAGATTTGTTGTCTTCTTTTCTAAAATGGGATTAACAATATCCCCTGCCAATCACACAGGGTTATAGAAAGGATCAAAGCCACCACCACAAGGAAATTTTAAAACACTAAATCACCAGTAGAGGGAAGGAAAATTTTCATTTTCTCTAGGGTTCAGTACAATTTCTGTTAGGCAATGTGGCCTAATTGATGCAAAAAGTATGGTCTTCCCAAGATAATGCCCACTTTAAGTCATGGAATCAGTGCAGCTCACAAACCAATGTTCTACATTTGCCACTGAGCCCCCATGAGAAAGATGCTGTAGAAGACACTTGAGATAGGTTATGCTAGGAGCCACTAAATCCAGTCTGGTCCATCCCCAAAGAGCAATATGCTTGAGGCTGGCCTTTGGGACAATGGTGATTGATGTCTTCAGTGACAATAGCATTCTTTTCTCGAAACAGTCCACTGGAGTCACAGTTTAAAACTCTGACCTTTGGTTCTAAACCCTACAGGAATCCCAAATGAAAAGAGATTCAACTTCCATTCTGGAGACTGAGTCCTCAGACTCAGTTTCCCTCTCAGCCTTAAGGTAGTCATTTTATAGTTGGTGGCCTCCTATCCACTGGAAATCACTATTCCAAAACACTGCTTCCTCTATGGCTTTGGCTATTCTATTTTCTACTTATGGTGCTTCACTGTGCTAGCTGGTGCCCACCCAGACACTCCTCTAGAGTCAAGAAGTGGAGAGGTGGTACTCAGTTCACACCTGGGGGATTGCAGGGGTGACTTTTCATCTTCTACACTAACAAATTGAGGATGAGTATTCATTTCATGTCTCTTTAAGCTGGGTGAAACATAAACATATTCAAGAAAACTCTTTATGTTTAATGTTTCTCTAATAGGAAAAGGAAATGGGGAACTAGGGAGGAGAATGGGAGGGGAGGGGGAAAGAAACACTACTTACGCCGTTTGCAGCCACATTTTTTAATTCTTTTGGGATCTGTGATGTCATCATGACAGGCCTTGCAGTAAAAAAATGCCCTGGAGAAAGAGAATGGAAAAACTGACACGTTTCATAATCCACTCAAATGAAATGAGTACCACATTTGCTCCATGGTGGTGCCAAATTAATGAAACATGCCAGCACTAATTTCCTTTAATCTTTTGAAAAGTTTAGACATTTGCAGACGGAAATGTTTGTTGCAAGACCATTTATTTCAAACACAGGATTCTGTGATTTGAGTTAGTGCTTCTTTTCATAAACTTCCATTTGCAAAGGAACAGGGAGAAAGGTTGCTGATGTGACATGCTGCGCCTGCTCCCTCGTCTTTCATTTTTCAGATCAACATTCAATAATGGTCCTTGGGACATATGAGGTATCAGCCCTGGGCCTTAGGTCGGGAAGTTAAATACAACTCTGAAATCCCCAGGGTCTGGCCAAATATATGTTAAAGGGGGCATGAGTATGACATTCCTTAGTCAAATACAAACATTAACCTCACCACTTTGAAAGCACCTTTTCTAAGTTAGTCAAAGTGAGAGAGGGTTGAAAAGGATGGAGGAGAGGGAACAACAAAAGTAATGAGTCTGGCGGTCCCTCTGTCAAACTCCCTCTGGTGAGTCACAGCCCATTTCACTCCAAAACAAGCTGGACCCACTCCCACTCTCTTGAGCCCTGAGCACATGTAATAAATGAAGGGTTTCTCCTTGGTGTGGAGGAAAATTCAGCTGAATGGGATGAATAAAGGAATGGGAGTGGGTAGAAGCAGTCAACAATTAAAAAAATATGCTAATCTGACTTTAATGCCAATATGGAATTACAAAATGGATTAGCTGTGATAAAGATACTTTGAATCAGACAAAATAAAATCCTTCAACATGGTTGAAAATTAGTACAGCATGGGAGGCCTGTGACCTTGTGGTATAGATGGTCCTCAACTTGGTATGGTGTGAACATGGATCCACACAAAAATTCTATTGTTCCATTTCAGTATGGAATTCAAGAAATTACATGAGATACTCAACTTTTAAAATACATATGAGATGGGATTTGTGTTAGATGATTTTTGCTTAACTGAAGACTAATGTAAGTGTTCTGAGCACATTTGAGGCAGGTTGGGCTAAGCTATGATGTTTTGGTAATTTATATGTATTAAATGCATTTTTGACTTATGATATTTTTCAAATTGTGATGGGCTTATTGTGATATAGCATCTGTACTGCAGAGGTGACAAAATTCATTGGAACAACCTTACAACCTTCTGGATCCAGGAACTAACAAAATTGTTGCCCTAGTACCTTCAGCCCAACATGAAACAGAATGCCAGGGATAACATGGTCTTTTCTCAACTGGGGCTAAAGAAACAAACATAATTCTTGACCATTTGATTCCTTTTTATGTTGGTTCATAGGATTTGCATCTCTGACCAGGACTGACTAGAAACTAACATTAAGATTTTTTAATCTGGAAGGCAGCATAGAATCGTAAAGCCAAATCTCAGTGCTCCCTTGGGTAAATTGAGAAGGTCATCATGAGCTTCATCAGAGCTTGGCTGGCCCTGGTACTCCTACATCCAAGTCCAGTGCTTTTTCTACCCAAGCAGTTCTTCCACCATTTCTTTAAATGCCAGCTGTCATCCACCTTGCAAGAAAGGAAAAGGTAGATGTCGGTTTGTCCTGTGTGGCATTGTAGCTAAGAACCCAATGATGGTGGTATACCTTGAAACAGGAAGGACAGTAAAGAAGACAGCATCAAAGTTGGGGCAAGTTACTTTGCATCCATTTCCTTTGGCCATTTTCTTCTCCAATTAACGTTCGTATAGTTAACAATAAAGCCAACACTTTTAAAGTGAAGATAGACCAGGTGCTATTCTAAGCATTTTACAGACATTAACATATTTCATCTTCAGACAACTTTTTGAAGGAGATATGATTTTTACCTTTGTTTTACGGAAAAGGAAACTGAAGTATGAAACTGAAGTGACCTGTCCAAAGCCGCACAGCTAAGATTGGCAGAGCCAGGATTCAAATCCAGGAGCTTAAAGTCTTAAACATACCTCTACTAAAGAGATGATGAGATGATGAGTCTGAATAAATTAAAGCTGGATTCTTTTTAATTACCTTTTTATTTTTAACTGACAAATAAAAATTATATATGCATGTGAGTTATGACATGTTTTGAAATGTGTATGCATTGTGGAATGGCTAAATCAAGTTAATTAATATGTATTACTTCACATATTTTTGATTTTTTTCTAGTGATATTCCTCAGCCAAATCCTCTCTTTTAGCAATTATCAAGAATTCAATGTATTTCTATAAACTGTGGTCACCATACTATACAACAGATATCCTGAACTTATCCCTACAGTCTAACTGAAATTTTATGTGCTTTGAACAACATTTCCCTGTTTCCTCACCCCCACCCAGCCCCTGCTAACTACCATTCTACTCTCTCCTTCTGTGGGGTTAATATTTTTAGAGTCCACATATAAGTGAGATCATGCAGTATTTGTCTTTCTGTGTCTGGCTTCTTTCACTTAGCATGATATATTCCAGGCTCAGAAAAGTAAAATTAATGAGTGAAATGAGATGAGGGCCAGGGGTGTCACATCTCCTCCTCCATCCTCTGATGGGAGGAGGCATCCAAGGCTTGAGATGATTTCTACCAAGTGACACTTCTTTAAAAGCACCAAGCTCTTCTCCATCCATTGCTGCCTTTCCCTTGCTATGTCTACCTGTACCTGAGCAGATGAGCACTACTGGGCACCAAAATGCACTGGTCTCCATTTAAATCCATGGCCATGGATTCCAGGGGCTTTTTCATACACCTGGAGTCTTCTCCATTCTCTTGCTGCTTGCTTTCTTACTCTCAGAAAGCAGCTCTCCCTTCTGTCCCTTCCACTTCTTCTCTCCAGCTCACCACACCCCTTTCTTAAGTAGCCTTCAGCTAACTGGTGACCTTGCTTCATATATCATCAAGAAGATCAGTTCTGTGTCCTGCAAGGCAGAACTTTAGGGTCTCCTTGTCCTATGGTTTCCTGTTGTATTTTGCCAAAGGCAGGAGCCAGCAGCAGACTGGAGGGTAGAAAGAGATGAGTTCCTTCCCTGCTTTACTGAAGGAAAAAGTTCCTGCTGGACAGTCATTTTATACCATAACCTCCTCCTCCAGCTTCAAACAGACCTTCTTCCCCTTGTCCCTGAAATTCTAGTGCTGGAAGAATCTCCCCTCTGTGGATGGTTCTGGGGTGCTTTGCCATCTCTTACTGGTTTTCATCTACTTGCTACCACAACTTTAGATACTCCCTTGATAAAACTGCCCTCCCTTTCTGTCTGTTTCTTTCCATGAACCCACTGATATGGACCCCACATTTCTATCTCTAGCCCTCACCTTTCCTTAGAATTCCAGACTCTCAGATCCACCAGTCTTTATAATAATTCTGTGTGTATATTTCTTACACATTTCTTACTTACCATGGCCCATACAGACTTCTTCACATCCTACCACCCAAACCCTGCTCCTCTACCTTTTTCCCCACCTCAGTAAGATGGAGCCATCATCCACTCAATGCTTATGCCACAAATCTAGGCACTAACCTTGATTCTTATTTTTCCCTCACTTCTTCTATCTAGTTCACCAGTAGATCCTCCAAATATAGTCCAAATAGGACACACATCCCTCCACCTCCACAAATTGACAGCGTCTCTCCCATAAGCTATGCAACAGTCTCTGAGTTTCTTGCCTCCTCTCCTGAACGATTACATCCTGTTCTCTACAATGCTGCTAGAATGGCCTTTAAATGCTATAAGTCAGACCATATTACCCAAGGTTAAAGTCATCAATAACTTTCCTTTTATGACACATCCAACCTTTTTATAAAGGGTTAGGGCAAGCAGCATCTGCCTTTCTTTATTAACTCATCTCATTTCATCTTCTCCACCTTTCCTGCCTTAGCCACACTTGCTGTTTTGTGTACCCCAAACACAATGAACCTTCTTCTACCATATCCCCTGCTCCTGTCTGATCTTTACACAGTAGATTCTTTCCTTTCATTTCTATCTGTGTACAAACGTCACCTCCTTAGAGCAGCCTTCACTTATACCCAACTTAAATCATTCATTCTTTCACTATAAATTTTTAAAAAAACAACAAGTAATTCTATCATCCCTAGAATGTGTGCCTCATGAGAGCAGGGACTTCTGTCCATTATTCATCCCTATTTCCCTGACACCTAGTATGGTGTCTCTAAAACATTAATGACTTGTAGACATTTGATGAATGAGTGAATGAGTATGAGAATGCTTCCTGTTATGTAGTAGGTCAATTTTTCAGAAGAAACCAGTAATAAGGACTTCTATATAAAAGCAAATAGCTTTTTTCAATTTGGCAGCTAATGTATTTTTTAAAATTATGACTCAAACAAAAATCCTATCTTCAAGTCAGTTCAGTCAATGAGCCACTAGACTATGTTCCAAGGCTATGTAAAAAGAAAAGTATTTAGCAGCAAGGATTAAAGGATAAGTGCCCAAACATCCATCCCAAAGTGACCTTTTAAAGACTGGAAGTAGATGGGCTCACTTCTTTTCTAAAGCCTTCCATCTGGAAGTTTCTATAAGCTAGAATTCATTAAATTATTTTGTTGCTTTTTTTGCAGCAGAGGGTACAAAACTCAACACTAGATCATCATAATCTACTTTTCCATTTTTACAAAACTTATTTAGTTTCATTCAAATCTCCAATGTCCTTTCCGTGGTTTTCTGAAGTCTTCATCTATTTGAAATCCCCTAACTGACAGCATTTGCTCTGACACATCACATACCATGGCAAATTATAGGCTGGAGTTGTAGCTGATTGTGTCAGCATGTATTTGTGAATACCATAAAGCACTAAAATGAGACATATTGCACTCCCTAATATAGGAGGTAATTTGTTTCTTGGTCTGCCTGGTATTTGTGACATTCATTAGTGAGAGATGCAATAGGAAATAGAATTACACAAATGGGAGCTTCATGTTGTATTTGCTGTCTGGGAGGTGCACATGATGTACAGCACCGCTGTGCTTCCAGCCTCCCGTGCTGGGAGCTGAGACACTGCTTCAAGCTTTTGTGTCCCACATCTGGGCGAGAACACAACCTTCTCTTCCAGGGCACCCTACTTTCCCTTCTCATGTGAACTTCAGTCTCAGGATATTCTTGAGGAGCAGCAAAGTTCCAGGAACTAGATAGGAAAGATTCCTCGCCCACAACTGAATAATGGAAATCTTCCCAATTTGCAAAGTAATTAAAAAAAAATTATGCCCCTCTATCCCAAATGTTACTAGTGCAGCTTGCTCACTAGAGGTGAAGAAAGAAAATCATGGCATTGGTTGTCAAATACTATTGTTCTGTGCTTAGCCTGTCAGGTGCATCTCCTGGCACAGAATGAAGAGGACAGGCCCTGCGACTGGACTTCTTGGGTTTAAATCCTGGCTTTATGACTTGCTACTAATGTAACTTTGAGCAAGTTAGGTAACCATTCTACTTCTCAGTTTCCTCATATGTAAAGCGGGGTATTGCAATGCCACCTCTCTCAGAGGGCTGTGTGAGGACTGGGTGAGTTCATAAACACAGAGAATATTAATTAGTACCCAGGACATGCTGGAGCAAAGTAAGCCCCCTGCAAGGATGTGTGAGCATCATCACATTCGATAGAAGGAGACTGGGTTTAAGAAAAACAAAGGCTAGTTCCAATCTGGATTCTGCCATTTGCTGATGTGCAGAATTGCACTGGGCCAACCATCGATCTTAGTTTTACAGAAGAGGAAACCAAAGCCCTGATGTTTAACAAGACTTTTACCTTCCACAGTTATTCTGAGGAGTAGCACATCTTGCACAGGCTTGGCTTTGAGTAGGAACTCATTAAATGAAGACAGTAGGTTTCAATAATAAATACATATCTCAATAATCAATAATTTGTTAAAAATATGCAACATTATGTTTGAACTACGTAAACTGTCCAGCATTTGCAACATTTCCTTTTGCTACGGAAAATATCCACGTTGATGGAATAGAATGAAATACAACAATATTCCATGTTGTTGGGCAAAGCCCTGTGATTCCCAAGCTGCTTAAACAGGTATAAGGACCCAAATAAAAATGTCATGAAACACTGAAGGCAATGAAATCCTCAGTTGGACATTCCAATTAAAGCTGACAACTTTAGCCACTTACCTAGAAAAACACAACTAGAAATACAAGCAATTCAATTGTTCACCTGAAATTAATCCAAACTTTTTTGAAATTTCATATGGCACTTATAATAGAAAATTGATAATTCTCAAGGATATTTGCCCAGATAATATTAAGAAAAGAGGACTATACAAGTGTTTGGTTGTCCTGTTGTGTTGTTTTGCGTCAGTAAGAATCAGGATGACCTGGAGCAGTTACTTCAGCTCCTTGGGCCTTAGTTTCCTCCCTTATAAGATGAAGGTAGGTAGGATATCTAGTTTCACATTTTTATTATTCTAATTCAAAACAGGGAATTGGCTACATGAAAAGGAGTCCATAGAAGCAATTGAAAGCACAATCTCTTTTTCCTAAAACTTTGCACCATCTGATATGTGAAGGAATTTTGGAGCTAGAGCCCTGTACATATGGAAGCATGCCCACCTTAGTAGATCAAGATGTCTATAGCTGGACCAGAAAGGAAGGCAAATGAAAACACACTCTTACCTTTTAACTTCTTTGGCATCACTTGCGATGAAAAATCCTAAAGTACCTTCTTGGATCTTAAGATGATTTCCAGGATTAATTAATATACTGCTCAGTGAACAAAAACAAACAAAGAAAACACATGTGTGAGCTCATGTTCTGAATAAAACCTTGAAGGCAATACTGTACTGCTGTATTTATAGGGGCCCCACTAGTCTAAAGCTTTCCCCAGAGATTTTTCTCTAGAGCCTGATGTTCACAGGCCCACACATTTAGTTGGATAATGTCATCATTAAGCTCTTCTGGTTAATTCTCAGGTTGGCATACTAGCAGTTGAAGAAATCAAAGTAAATATCAGTTTTACAGCTGGCATTTTCATAGTAGGGGAGTCAATCTGCCATCACAGGAAGCTGACTGGAAGCAAAGTTCCTCACGAAACTCCTATTGGTGGTCAATGCTAAACATTACTGGTCTAAAGAAGTTCTAGCTATACCAGTTTTCCATTAGATGACAGAGCTTTAATGGGACCCCTATATTTATGAGGAAACATACATATACACATATCACGTGTTACTGAGGGGAATGGTACAAGACACCCACAATCAATGCAGAAGCAAACTGAACATATTCATGCTGAATATAACTTTGATGTACAGCTCAGCCCAAACAGTGAAAAAGAAAAATATCAGTGGTTGTATATGCTTAATGATTCCAATCTGCTATTTATGAAAATGTATGAGGTGTTTGAATAAGATATACGGCTAGTATGTACTAATTGGGGCAAACTGTAGTTAGAAAACAAAAATTATTCCCAAACAAAAAACAAAAGCCTTGCCCTCCAGGCAAGTATTAACCTAAATACACACTGTCCTGTTTCAAAGTAGTATAAATAGATTAGCTGACCAAGTTGTGTTTGGACTGACAGTAAAGATAAATGTACTGTAATCTAATAAATGGATGAAACAAACAAGTTTAATTTTCTGCAGATCAAACGCAGAATACGAGACTGTCTTACCCAGAGACAGAGATGAGGCTTTGGATTTAATAGATGCTGAATGTAGGGGCGTGAAAGGAAGCACTAGACAACAGAAGTATTCTTTGATCTGAAAAGCTGGTGATTAAGGTAACCTATTTGGAATCAGCTAACGGAAGTCCTTGGCTGCTCAAAACAATCAAAATGGAGGCTAAAAATTAACATTTAATCTTTTTCTGTGGTAAAACCATTCCAAAAAAGTGTTGTGACGAACAGTGATACGTCTATAGTAATACAGCAAGGACCCAGGTGAACTTTTGTTCTATTGGGAGAACTCTGAGCAGATCATTACTGCAAAAATAATTGTTTGTGGCTACAAAAATATCCACCATTACCTGTAACAAGACTTGACAGAAGAAAAGTAAGCTTGTGTTGTCGCTGTTATTAACACTAAATAATAGCAAGACTCTGTGAAGATTTGACTGCTCTGCCCCAGAACCACAGGCAACAAATGAGATTCCTTCGAATCAGAAAGCAGCAGTCCACACCGATAGCACAGCTTGCCACAGGTAGCAACTTCATACAGCCACCTCCTAATTACCCCTCTGCAGCTCCAAACTGATATCACAAGCCCTCTGATGTAGCATGATCATGAAAGGCGGAGGTCAGAACTTTCACAGTTTCAGTAGCTTTCTTTTCAAAATCAATTAAATACAATGTTTTAGAATGACAGAGCTCTGGATTTTTACATATTTTCTTAACCTTCTTTCTTACAAGGCAGGAATTGTAGTGCCCTGGCTCTATAATTGGAAATTGGGTCCAAATTTTGACACTGCCATGACATAGTGACTTGGGCAAGTTAAAAAACCTCCCTAGAACTCAACTTTCCCCCCTACAAGGAGTTAATGATAACAAAATTCTTTCCTCAGAGAATTAAGTGAAATAATGCATAAATGGCTCAATGCACACTGGTTATTGTTATTTACTTCATTATTGCACAAAATGCCTAAGTATGTTTTATTCTCAACAGAGAGATAAACAGAGTGATCTTTAACGAGTTCCATAGAATGGAACATGGTGAATCATATCAAAATACCCTACCATAAGCTGGGAGTGTGGCTGCAGTGGTAGAGGATTTGCCTAGCAAGCATGAAGTCCTGAGTTCAAACCCCAGTACTACCCCAAATACCTAGCCTATAATAGGATGAAGTTACAGGTTAAAGTATGCCACAAAGTAATGCATAAGGCCATCCATAAAATATTCCATACACTTCTGGAGCCTTAAGAACTAGTTCTTTAAAGCTGGAAGTTCTGCATTTTGATTGGTATTCACATAAAAAGCTTCTGAGCAGAAGAAAACAAAAGTCCTATCATGATTTGAAGAACAGAATTGAAATGGTGAAATTTGACACGTGGTCTTGGTGACATACACGCAAAGAACAAGCCTCATGGAGACCCGTTTCCTTTTCTCATACTGTGTGCCTCACTAATTGTTTTCCAGGGATTGAGGCCACCGTGTCATTGTGAAATACAGTGACAGCAAGGCTCTTATCATAGAGAAGCTTCTTTTCATTTTCTCTGTTCTTGATCTGCACTAAACAAGAATTGGACTACAATGAAATTTGGGATTTGACATTCTAGAGAGGACAGGTTGAGAGGCTTCAAGCTTCTTCTAGTCAAACTAATGTGGTGGAGAGGAAAGACTTTGGATGCTGATGTAGGCTGCATTGATGTTCAAACTTCAGGTTTGCCACCAATGTTGGCTAAGTACATAGGTGCATGAGTCAGACCTCAGTAGGTTGGGTCCTGGCTTTGGGCATGTGGACACAGCTAAACCTCGCTTTCCTCATCGGTAAAATAGAGTGCATAATCCTCAGTTTACGGTGTCTCTAAGAGACTTAAAGTAAGTACTACGTGCAGTGTGACTGGCACATAGTAGGTCCTTAATTCATTGTTGCTATGAATAGTAAGGGGGTTATAAAATGAGAGTAAATAAACTCTCACAGCACAACAACTCTGCTGTCTGTATTAATAAATTCCCCCAAAAGTTAACCTTTTGACATAGAAAGACCCCTTTTCTGACTGCAGCATACAAAACATTTGGTTGCTGGCAACATCTAGCAATGGGCTAATTCACCTTGACTTCTGGCTACACGTGGAGTAGCTCCTGGTCCTTAAATCTTATGATTGACATGCAAGGAACAGAAAACATCTCCAATGACCCCACAGATTGTGTGGTCCCAAGATGCCCTTGTGCTCTCTGTTGATAGGGTAAAAGGGTTTATATCATCTCTGTGTGAAATGTAAGGCAGCACCATTTGCAGATATACAGATAAGGCTAAGGCAGCCATCTGGACAAGATTCAAAAGAATGAGCCTATTCCTTGAGAAAAATCAAAGAAATAAGACTAAACATATAAAGAAGCTCCTGGGCTGGATTTGGCTTGTATACTTAAGGGTTAGTGAAGAAATGTCCCTAATTCCAGGGGCCCATGATATGTAACACTGCCTGTGTAAGAGTACTCAAGTTCACAGACTAAAGAAGTACATTGCTGTTTTGGTATTTCAGACTTTAAGTCTTCGATCCACATTCTAAATCTAGAAAGTTTAAATAAAGTACTAATCTTCCTCTTCTTGAAAATGTAAAAAGATAAGAATTCTGAAGAGAAGCAACTTTTTTCTTTTTCCAGCAAAATGCCTACTACTGCCTTAAAAGTAGTTATTGAATTCGTGATGGGAAGACATAAATTTTTTTTCCAAAGATCTCTGATCTTCTTAGGAGAATATTCAATGTCAAGCTTGCTTTGTTCTCAAGATTGCCCAATGATCCCTCCCTGTACACCACTTTAAATCAGATCTGTGGCTCCAACTTTGTCTAATTCACTAGCTTATCAGAGATAAATTTCAAGATGTGTCATGTGAAGAATCAAGAAAATCTCCAAGAGAAAAGAAGCCATATATCTATTAGCAGAATTCCAATAAGGACATCTTCTTGGCAGGGTGGACATTCCCTCATTTCAAGGAGCATATAAATTATGCTCTTTTGTATATGACCTTGTTGATTTCACTGAAAACTCCCAGTGACAGCTGGCAGCACAAGGTCTGTGTGGTCTTTTCCCCAAGGATACTCACTCTCTCCTTTCCTCTTGCTCTCAGGCTACTTCTATAACTAAACTTACTCTTTATCTACCATTATCCAGAGAAAATACATATTTTCTATAAGGAATAACTAATTGAATAGTGGAGTGAAAAACACAATCAGGTTCTATTTACCTATGAGTTTCTCATAGTAACAAGTAATAGAGATCTGCATGCAATAGGCACTTCTCAACTTTTTACTGAATGAAATGAAAAACATAAGTCATTTATATCTCAGTTCTAAAAGTTTTCCTCTTCTTCTCTAATAAGAGGAAAGGGCACTGCTTCTGTTCTTTCAAAAACCAAGCTGTAATTCTCATCAGCCAGGCTGATCAAAGGCTGACCATGTGTATTCTAGTAGATTAGCCCCTGAGTTAACAATGTCTCAGAGGCATTAAGTATAAATATAAAAATATGCAAATATATAAACAGTGAATCACTTGGGAAGTTGGAGCAATTGATTTCAATATTGAAAGCACAACTCAATTAGTATTGAAATCTGTGTTCCTAAACATAGAACACATCCACATAGGACAGAGGAGCAGGGCTCAATGCAACAGGGAGATGTCTGTATCAGGGCCCTTTGAGACGTATTAAAATGCATCACACTTCATTGGGTATCTCTTGCTGAACTCTGGACAGGCTGGAGTACCAGGAATTGTTGTAGGAGAAATGGTATTTTTACTTTTCCTCCAACATTTATACATAACAACTGGGAAACTTTTAATGATCCCTTCTTCAATTATCACAAATCTTACCTGCTTACTTTTTGGGGAGACAAGCAATGGCTGATAATGCAACTGAAACAGATATTGTTTTAAAATAACACCTTTATAACTATGGACAAATAAGACAGGTATGTATTTCTCTCCTCCCCTTCCATTTTTGGAAGGTGTCATGTACCATTCCCCAAACAATTGAGAAAATATCACAACCCATATGAGAATATAGTTTATTACAGATAACATGGTAATTATAGTTGTGACTAGCAGTCTACTGGGACTTTATTAACTAAGCAAGCAAATCAGAACCATTGAGGACTTCAGGTCATGCTACATCCCGATGAATCATGCCATTGGGAAGTTTATATACAATCGCTATTAGTTGGAACTATAAACCAACTGTGTCCCTTCTTAGGGAGTACAAATAAACTGTAGTTTGTGGTTATATTAGAGTAAAGCCCAGAAAAAGCCCCAGATCTCAAATATTATCACCTTTCTGGAACTTTTCATTTCTTCTGGGTTTTAAAGTATGTGTATGTGCTGCTGGAGTCCCACACAACTAGACACACACTTTTACTTTAGGATATGTGTAGGAGACACAGTTGTGTATTCCATGCTTCAATGTACTTAAGCCCAGTTCACTTACACAGAGACAGCAAAATAAAGGTTGCTCCCAGTTGGTCAGACTCAAATGGGACCATCACTGTGGTCCACCAATGATATTGGCAAGGATTTATTTAGCCTGAACTTACGTCAAGGATTTTAAAAGTAGAATCTTAAAATATATTTTGCACATTATAGAAAAGAATAGTCACATGGGATAAGGTAGAAAAAGCTGGTCTAGGAAGGACAATGCTGGGCATTTTGTTCTGGGAGCAAGCCATGTCACTTTCTAATACACTTTAGGGCAAGTCATGCCTACATCACAACATGCCTTCACCACAAGATAAAAGGACTCAAAGGCCAAAAGCCAACAGCAGAGGTGCAACCACTGTGGACCTTTGAAGATGCAAAGTGTTGCAGTAACTTCTTGCAGTTGGATCATATCAATAATACCAAACTGACAGGAAGCCACCTCCATTTATACACATCTACTCAGAAACTCACAGAATATCTGACTTTGGAAGGAGTTCCAGACAAATACACACACACACACACACACACACACACACACACACACAATTATAAACACAAACATGTGACAGTGACTACAACCACAGAGAAAAGCAAACACTTGGAATGTGAACAAAACAGCATCTCAATAGTTTGTTTTCAACAACACTGTCTTACAGAACACATTATTGAAAAACTACACTGGAAATTTTAACCCAAAAAACCACCTTTTAAAAAATACCATTGATGATGATTTAGTCATGCTTCATGCAACATAAAACAGCACCAAAACACAGTGAAGTCACATGGTGAAAGTTGAGATACTTCATATTAAGAAATATGCCCAAACACTAGGGGGGAAAAGCCATGAGTTCATTCCAATAAACAGTATTCAGTCAATAAGTAGAGTGTGATAATCTGGCAATTTAATAGCAGCATTCTAAGTCTTTAGTGAGCACTGCCGAGAAATTAAATAATGAAAATGAGATCGCCACAATAAGTATGAGGAAAAATAGAAGTGTAAGGGCTTGGTCTCTGTTTTGTGGATAAAGAAAGTCTGTTCTACAAGGTGGAAATGACACAGAGAGGAGGAGGTCACTGGGAATGTGGATGTGGGATACAGACAAAATGGCACCCATGTCTGGTGGACACCAAAACACATCAGGACAATACAGAAACAGACACAAAGAGCAGGAGAGAAGCATCTCCTTTTTACTTTAATGGTACATGTTCCCATCATTGGTGCCATGACTAAAAACAGGATTATGCCTTTCCATTTTTTAGGTTTCCTGCAAAGAAGTTAGTGCATTATCCAAAAGAATCAACAAATCAAACAAAGACGAAATAGGCTACTTTTGATTTTCATGTACTTTAGTTGGAGAAGGGTGTGTGTGTGTGTATATATATATATATATATATATATATATATATATATATACATTAGACAAGGGAATGAGATTATATATGCATATATATAATCTCTCTCTTCTTGAATTCTTGGCAAATGGTTAGTCCTGTGGTTAGGAGTGAAGACAGAGGGTGGAGGTTGGAAGGAAAGTTAACGAAGAGTGCATACCGCTTTCGGCTTCTGCAAAACGACAAGAAAAGAATTTAAAATCAAACAATTTGATAATAAATTGACTGACACCAGAAGGAAAGAAGGAATAAAACCTTTGTTTCAAATCATTTGAAGTATGCATGTGAAAACAAGGTTTTTCAGCAAAGCATGAAAACAATATTGGGGCAAAGCCAACAACAGAGGAGGTAGCTAAACACGGGTTGAAGGCAAGAGGGTGGGAAGGAGAAGCAGGCTTCTCTGAATTTTAACACCTGGTCAGTTATAAAATGTGAGAGGAAAAGAAATGGGAACTTTGTAAATGAAGAAAAGTCAAGTTGTTTTTTCACGAAGGATCAAAACCTCGTTTATTTTGGACACAGACACAATGTTGGATAAGTCCTGTGTTTTCCCAGGGGGGGCATGATCCACATTCCCTCAAACATGCCTATTTCCACAAGCACCAATGTGCTTCCACACTGAGACCAAGCCACATTGAGGACTAACGCTGGCAATTGCACACAGAAAGCCAAACAAAGCTAAGCAAGTTCTTGTCCTTTTCTGAAAAAAGATCTAAAAACTATATAAATACAGCTTTGTGGAAAACATTTCAGATTTGTGAATCAAAGGGCCCTCAAAGAAAAGATTTGTACTTCAGGGAGTGTGCTGAGGTCATTTTCTCAGAATGGCAACAGCAGAGTCACTTTGAACCATTAACTGTCTTTCCCTCTTTTCCTGTGACCAAAGTTGCGCAGGTGGGAGGTGACAGGTCAAGGTTCAGGGTACAGTTCTCTCCTGCCATGAAATTATTCCAGAATGGTCAAAAAAACACTACTTAGCATCAGCATCACTTATATCATGACGCTTTTTTTTAAGAGATGCACAAAAGTGATAAAGAGAGAACACTCAGTTACACAGATTAACTGACTTGCCAACATGAAGAATACCATTTGCAAAAACCTCAGATACACAGTCCCCACACTCAGGTACAGTGAGGACTGGCAAACCGTAACCCCAGACAATTCCATACTATTTGCTGAAGAACAAATAGCCAGGACTCTCTCAACTTTTTGCAAATAATATTCTTCACTTTGCCAACACAGAAAAGAAAAATGTATCCCTATATACATATTTGAAACTGCTCCAGCCATGTTCTACACGTGGCCACCAAATCTACCATTTTATCTTCCTCTTGGTTGATTTGGATTTTCAAAATAACTTAGCGTTTGATCAGATTGACTTTGTGCACAATCTGATCTGGTGGCTAAGATAAGAGAAAACAGTGGATTGACTTGCTTACAATCCAGTGTTTCAGTACATGTTTTGTTTTGTTTTCTGTGATAGACATAGACTGTACGCTGGAAGTCAGGAGTTATTGGTCATTCATTCAGATAATGAAAACTCCTTAAATGATGATAGCAGGGACCCTCTACTCTTGCCCTGAACTCTGCTCAGTTACAAAGGCATGTGTCAGGGGTGTCTGCACCCTACACTTGTGCATCTTTAGGAACAAATGATTTATTACAGCAGGAACAGACTCTGGATATATCACTTCAGAGAACAAAAGCTGGAGCATCCTTCAACCAGCTCTCTTTTTTCCAAAATTGTTGATAAGAATTATGGCACAAAAATCATCTCTATTTCATCTTTAATAAATACAGTATTTATTAACAACAAAATTCCTTGTTACCATGACACTGTCCCCTTCAAGCAGTGAGGCCATATATTGACTGGGGTGTTATCTGTTTCACCCAGACCCCATCTCTCATCAGTCTGATTTGCACATAATTAAGTGTAAAATAAATAAATAAAGAGAGCTCCTGCCTCTGAGCTCTGCTCTCTTCGCTAATTTACATGAAGCTGATATTCTGCCACCTGGATTTCGGCTGCACCGGGAGAAGCACATATGGTACACAATAGACTGCTTGTAATTTGGCTGTCGAGAGAGCTGGTGTCTCCCATCATGGCTCTTCCCCAAGCCTGCTGTGACAGAGACCAGAGTCCGCCTGCTTTTTGCTCACAGCAGTTAAACAGGGTTTCAAGGGTCTATCCCTCGTTTTAAGCTTAGAGAGTGAACCGTGCAAGTTGGCATGAGCAGGTGGAATTATTTGAGAGTGATTCTCCCTCTCCTCCAGGGAAATCCTCTCTGGATGCCCAGTGGGGTTTGAGGTGCCAGACTGGTCCAGGATAGAAGCTGCGTGTCTTGAAATGTACCCTAGGGTCAGAGAGGTGTTGCATTTGGGTTCCAGGCAAATAACTCATGTGTAAGAAAGAGGAAGTGGACCGACCATTCCCAGAATGCACTCTCAAGCCATAAACGTCAATCGGTGGCTGGGTTGTAGCAAACTTACCGGCTCTCTCGGTTGGCAGACTTGTACTCAATGGCTATCATTAGGAGCTTTAGCTTCACAAAACACAGCCTGCAATGAGATGGAGAAGCCTCCCAGTCAGTGCTTCTGTTTGAGCAGAGTCACATAACTGTTATGCCCTTTCAGTCTCTAATGTGGTCATTAGCAAGGGGAACCTCAATCCATTGCCTGATGCCAAAGGGAGGTGGTGGAAATGACACCTCCCCATCTTCCCCCATTAAACCCGATTTCTTGCAAGTGATAAGGTGCTGGATGTTTAGAGTGCAAATTGCACTTAGGTCTGGATGTCTAGACACAAAGCCCAAGCAGGGATTTGTGCCTGGGGATTTACACCGGGCCAGATTCATTAGTTACTCAGGCGGGTAGTAAAATGTTAACTACAGGGGGAGGGAGAAATTTGGAGCAGCTGGACCTGTTATTTGGATTCAATTTTGGTCTTCTGTACAAATGGCTCATATTGTTGTTCTGAGCAGACCCCTGTGTGCTTGGAATGATGCTAATAATACCTAACCTCTCTGTAAGTGCCCGCATATGACTACGGCTTTGTCATTCCTGGCTCCATTCAAGCTGTCTCACCTTGTCTGCCTAGGGCTCTGGACTGCAGACCAGCCTGCCCTGAGGCTGGCTTGCCTCTGCCCCCCTGCCTTCACCTCTGCACTCCTCTACCCCAGTACCTTCTCCTCTCCTCCACCATCCTCCTATGCCATGCTCCACCTGATCTTCTAAGCACAGGGTCTTCTCTAGCTACTGCTCCCCTCGGATTATTTTATTCTCAGAATTCCTCCAACACCTTGGCTGACACCACAGCATTTATCCCTTAGCCAATTTTATCCTGGTCTTTGTTGTTCCTTAATATGTCATGTGTCTGAACGTTCCCTCCTCCACCAGAGCAATGCCTTTAAGAGTCTTGAACTTGTTCGGAATTCCCCACAGTGCCTAGTGAATGGACCCACAATTACAGAGAAGCTCGATAAACAAATGATTTCCACTCACCAGGTTTAAAGTCTAAGAAAATAATAAGAGGTGCCATAAAGTATTTGTGCATAAAAATGTTCAGAGTAGTGCTATTTATATGGTGTCAAAAATCTGAAGCAACCCAAGTGCCCAATGGTGTAGCAGCTAGCATTCAAAATGACTTTTGGAGGAATACTTCAAGATACGAGATGAACAATTAATATTATATAACAAGATGCAAACATTTACATAAACAAAATGCAATTAGGTGAAAATATATATTTACATACTCATAGAAATAAAACCTCACAAATACAAAACAAAAAGAACTGGGTGCCAGTGGCTCATGCCTATAATCTTAGCTACTCAGGAGGCAGAGATCAAGAGGATCACAGTTCAAAGCCAGCCCTGTGCAAATTGTCCATGAGACCCTATCTTGAAAAAAGCCTTCACAAAAATAGGGCTGGTGGAGTAACTCAAGGTGAAGGCCGAGTTCAAGCCCCAGTACCACAAAAAAAAAAAAAAAAGAATCCTACTACAAGTTTTTACAGTAAATATTATTGGTTACTTTTATTTGAAGGACTTTATGAATAATAAAACATTGTTTGACTGATGGATTGAAAAATGAGTAGTGGTTATTTAGTTCCAGGATTGTAAGGGGGTGACATACTGGTTTAAAGGGTAGGGGTTCCTTGATAGCCCCATTTATTCCTCACAATTAGTTATTCAGGCTTCTATTGATAACTGTATTTTATAAGTGGCAAAACTAAGACTCATAAAAACCCATGTAACTTTCCCAATGGATAGGGATTAGGTCTCTAGCTAATATGTGGCATGACATACAACATCTTCATACCATATGAAACCTATTTTGCATTGGGAGCGATAAGCAATAAACAAATAGCCAATAAATGAATAAACTGTAAATCTCCAGATGACTTGAAGTCCTGTGAAGAAAACAAAACTACCTATAAAGACAAAGAGTAAATGAAAAATGGGTGTGTCATCTGTGATGGTCCAGGAGGACCATTCTGAGGACACCAGGAGCAGTACAGCATGAGGACCAGGCAAAAAGAAGGTATGGGGAAAGGGTTTTCCATGGAGTAGAAACAGCAAGTGCAAAGGCCCTGAAGCAAAACAGAGCTCTGGGTGCTTGAGAACCAACAATAAAGCCTGCAGAGATGGAGCTGAGGGAGCAAAGTTGAGAGAGCTAGTGAGTAGATCAGAGTGTAAGGTGAGAGCAAGGTCATGAGGTTTTTGCTTGCCACAGCAAGGGGTCTGCAGCTTATTCTAAGTGAATGGGGGGGCCTGTAGTTGATTTTAAGTGGAGAAGTGACAGAATCAGACAGGTAGGACGTGGGGATGCTCTGCTTGCAAGGAAGGTGCTGGTGAAGACCTCATCCTCTCTACAGGGAATGAGACCAACTGCTCATTCCTACGTGTGAGGTCGTGGTTCCCTGGCACCGCCTTCAACAGACTGTCAGATTTCAAAGGACAACTTCCCTCTAGGCATATCTGGGCTCTTCCAGTGATTTGCAGGTTTTTGATTCCTGGCAGCAAATTCTAATGGCCTGGGCTTTGTGCTGATTATGCAGCTCAGTGAAACACCAACATACAGATCCAACTACGGCAGGGAAAATGCCCTTGTTAATTTATGTCCCATAGGGCTCCACTAACATGCACCCTTTATAGGGCTACTCCTTCTGGAGCTCAAATTGTTTAAGAAATCATGTGGCTTATGCAATGTTTATTGAACCAAATTACCAGATTAAGTAACCACTATCTAATGTAAATAGTAGTTAAAAGCCAAAAAATCAACAAGAAAGCTGATCTTAGTTTAGCATGGCTCATGCAGAAGTTAATTTGTTGCTATCCTATGAGTAACAAACATTCCAATTTGGGGTTCTGGTAGCTCATGGAATCAAAGATCTTAATTGCTTTTATGGACCTCGTTCTACTAGTGAAAAGTGAAGAACAGTTCAGAGTAATTCTTTCTTCCTAACTACTACCATGCCATTTACCAACTAGATATAAAAAGAAAGAAACTTCCTGACACAGGCAAGTCAAAAACTACACAGCCTGGCACACATTCCTCAGCCTTATAGAGAATGGACCAGCAGATCTCTGAGTCCTCTTCCTATTATAAATCCATAACTTCCTAACTCTCAAATCCATACCTAAGATGGTGCTACATTGCCTTACAGAAGCTTCTTTCTAAGAAGCCCTTTGACCCAAAGCAAGCTGATCTCACTGGCCAGAGAAGAAACAGGAGAGGAAAGGGACAGAGTGATGTAAGAAGAGAGAATATGTGCAAACACAGTTACACCATACATTTATTTGTAAATTGGCTGATCCCATCTTTCTTACACAGAAGGCAAGCTGAAGTCCAAAGAGGCCACAGCTATTAGCTAAGGGTCAAACGGCTTTTACCTGGAAAAATCAAAGTGGACATTAAGTCTTTATGCTGTGTTCTGTACAGATGCTTCTCACAAGAACAGAGAATGTGAAATGAAGTCTAACACGTGAACACTTCCTGTTTGGTCAGCACAGTGTGTTAAAAAAACTAGACATAGACACCTTCAGATGATTTCATATAAATACTAATTTTTTTGGGGGGGGGACTTTCCTTTAAAAGTCAGACGTGGCCACACTGGAACCATAGACCATATGGCTACAGGGGACTGGAGCTATCCAGTCCTCACCCCACTAGAGGGGACATGTATTCTCAAATGTGCCAAAGTCCCCACCACTCCCTATTGTTCATACCTCCTCACTCCTCTTTGTGGCTGTCCGTCTCTGATAGGCATCTAAGTTTTAATCCTTGCTACAAGTATCCTCTGGATATGGATAAATACCATTGAACAATAAACTATAATTTAGATTGGAAGTCAGACTATGACTCCACATGTGAGTGGTTTGTTTTTTTTTTTTTTTAGATACTACCAAGAGAGTTGGCCAGTGACAGAGTCCTGGGCTTAAGGATGTAGCAGAGGTGAAGGGACAGTGAGGGAGGAGACAGAAGCAAATAAAAAAAAAATGGGAGCTGATGGGGTAATCACTTGTTTCCTTAGCTCTTTCCCTTGTATGAGCTCCTCTAGTATGGGATGCATGCTTTGCCTCCCTGGCATTTTGCAAAGTGCAAAGAGTATGCTTTCAATGAAGGCTGAATAAATAACTGGATGGATGAACAGCAGCAACCTTGCATGAATTTCTGGGGTACTGAAGAAGAGACAAGGTAGAAAACTAGGAAAGTCTAGACAGAGTACAGGGAGTAAGCAGAGGATCCTAAAACAACATGTTCCATAACTTGTCATGATTATTAGAAGCTGACAGAGTGAACAAAGAAGGTCATAAAATGAGCAGGGTGCTGATGGCTCACACCTGTAATCCTAGCTGCTCAGGAGGCAGAGATTAGGAGGATAGCAGTTCAAAGCCAGCCTGGGCAAATAGTTCACAAGACCCTATCTCAAAAAAAAAAATCACAAAAAAGAATTGGAGGAGCGGCTCAAGATGTAGGCCTTGAGTTCAAATCCCAATACCACAAAAAAAAAGTTGCAAAATGAAGTAACTGTGGTGATATGCTCTAGAAATCTAATTTTTGCATAAGATTCATCATGAAAATCCAGTTCTAAGGTACAGATTCTTGGGATCTTCTAGAGATCATGTTACAAAGGACTCAGACCTAAGAATATACTTTCAGACTACCCAAAATTGATCACCTGTGGTTAAATATTTATTTGCACTATTTTGGGGGGATGGAGTAAGGGAGAAAGGGTATTAGCTATCTAATCTTTAGAGTCATTCTTCTGGCTTTACTCAACCTGTGGTGTGTCAACATCTATCGGGCTAATTAGTGCAAGGTAAAGTACCAGAAAAGGGCAAGAAAGGCTTCACAGTGTGATAAGCAGGATAAAATCAGCCATAAGTTTGTAAGAATTTAATTCTTGGTTTCTAAAATAAAATGTACTAATGCGTCCAATGCAGAAAGTTGTCACTGGTTGCAAAAATAATTACAGGGGAATAGAATAACTTCTTTTTTTCAAGAAAAAAAATGAACTTGTCACAAAAAAGGTCTTAAACCAGCAATCTGCAATAAA